GTGATTTGCCCCTCAAACTGATTGTTTAATCCTTCGACATTACCAACCCATATTGTCCCTCCACCTTGGAAAGTAAACCCCGTAGCAAATGCCTGTTGATTTGCGATATTACTACCATCGACGTAAATACTGGTAGCTCCTCCTTGAATAACGTCGTTCTGTGTCCAGGTAACACACATATGGTACCAGTGGTCGAAACCCAGTGCATCATTAGCGTTGAACGCATGCGCCGCATTACTAAAAATGGACAGAGCGATTTACTTATTAAGCCCCGTGCGAACGGACGCAACAATGTCGCCCAACAACTCCCAACATTGCTGGATGTTACATGATGCGTCTGTTTGCACACCCTGTTGCATGTTGTTGGAAGTTGCTGGGTAAAGTTTGAAACCGGTCAAACTTTTGAACCAACAACTCCCAACATTTTATTGGTTGCGTGATCGCCGAGGCGTAGCGCAACAATGTTGCATCCGTTTGTACAGCTCTCCAAACATTGTTATGCACGTGCATTACACATGGTCTCCAAGGTCTTATGGGTTGTATCCTTCCCACGATGCACTGCAGGTTCCAACATTTTTATGAGTTGTTGCATTCGTTTGCACACCACTGCTAACATGACCGCATTAACTCCCAACATTGATGGCCCGTTTGCACCCTTAAGATTAACATCTCACAAGAGTGGTCAGGGCGCACTTTGCCGGCATTTCGAAGTTCACTAGTTCGGGTTTTGCTTTGACTGGTTAAGGAAGTCCGCCCTAATTGATCAGTTTAACAAACTACTACAAAAATTGAATAGAAAAATGTCGGAATATGTAATATAAAACAAAACTAGGATCCCTTTCCAATACTCGAAAGAACTGTAAAAAATAGCAAAGAAATCAAGGTGGTACGTTAAAAACGTAATTCTTATTTCAACCCAGGTGGCATCGTAGCAACCTTGTGGATGTCAGACCTGTCCAAAAGCGGTCGTGATCTGGTGTGACTGAGTGGATAAATTGCATAATGATGTGAAATTCTGTTTTGTTTTCTACTTGTGTAAGGGAGGGGACTATAAATTACTAACAAAATTGACATTACAGAAAGTTCATGATTACCCAGGTTGAACAAGCTGCAGCTCCACTACATTGCTATCGTAGTGTATGCTGAAGAAATGTCCGTTTGCAGCAATGTATCGAAGAAAGCTCATCCCGTTTCCATGTGATGGCAGTTGAAATCTAAGCCAGAGACACACGGAGAAAGCAGCGAAGTCAGTTAAGATGTTTTCCCAGTACACATAACCAGTCGAACGTGGTGGAAACTTTAGGTCAAAGTCGCCGGAAAAACCTGATGAAAAACGGGCAGATGTGACGATATCAATTAGTAAAAGTAAATCTTGATTTCTGTTAGAAGTGAACTTAGCTTCTTTAGCTAGTCTACAGGCACCTTACTAAAATTTCTTAAAGCAGAAAATACACAGACAGAGAAAATAACAGGATAAACTGGCAAGAGGGAGCCAGACGGAGAGACAGAAACGGCAGACAGAGTAGAACTCGAGCCCTCGTCCTTACGATTACAAATTCCAGACGCTGACGCTGTCTGTCCAACAGTTCCCTGGGAAAATTAGTGCTTTTTAGTTTAAAGAAGCTTTTATTAAAATGAGAACACATTACAGTTCCAAACGTTAGAACCACCTTGTGCAGCATAAACAACAGTAACACTGGAAAGTCTGGAAAGTACTGCTCTCAGTGAGTAGCTTTCAATTGAATGGTCACATCATAGGATTTCATCCACAGACTCAAAAGTTAGAACCACCTTGTACAGCACAATAAACAGTATCACAGAAAGCACTGCTAAATAACTTTCGTTTGAATGGTCATACCATAGGATTTCACACACAGACTCAAAAGTAATAACATAGTAAATATGAACAGTACCAGTGGAAAGTACTGCTCAGGAGCTTTCATTCGAACGTTCACTCCAAAGGATTTTGATCACACTCCTAAAGTTAGAGATCTTTTAAACGTCTCTGGGATTTCTCTTACCATCTGTTCTTCTTATTTTCATTTCAGTCTTGATGATACTCTGCAATGGTTGCGAAGGAAAGCCAACCCACTTTATTGACGCACTGTTAAGCGAAGCGTTCTCACCACATGCCGTCGTAAACCACCACCCACCATTTTGCGATAGTGCGCAACTGTCTTCATCTGGAGTTGCAAAGCTAGAACCGTTATGTGAATCGAAACCGTTTGGAATATTTCCAGAAAACTCTCCCAGCGACAACTTGTAAAGAGCACCTTCGTCTGCGACATGGAAGTTACTGTAAATAGCATAGCCTTTGCTTCCATCAGAGATTTCCAGTTGAATCAAGAGTTCTGTGTTCTTGCTTGTCAAGGCGTAGATATTGTCATTACCTAGCCACGTCTCTGATTGGTTGTTTACTTCGCCAAAACCTGAGAGAACGACGAAAACATCAACAACAAAAACTGATTTTGCAGAATGGAATAAACTAGCTACGATAACTGTCTTGAATAAAGTTCAACGAATGAATGGGATTCGTAGCACCTTCCTAACCAGCCAGGATCTCTGAAAAATTGCCTTTGACTGTCTTAAACAGTTTTTCCTAAACCTTTAATCACCTGTGCAATCCAAACTATCTCTACCCGGAGGTTGGCGGGGGGGTTAGGCGACTACTTACGATTCGTCTCCTTATGTCAAATTACTTACAATACCCCTATTTATGCTTCGCTGTCCTTAAACAAATGTAATGGTGAATGACAAGCCTCGTTAATATATGAAAATGGCGTTTGTCCAGTGAGTGACGCATGTGATTCAGGAACCATCTGGTTACTTGATGAGATGCTTTACAACTGAGGAGACTCAAGGTATCCAAGGCCATCAAATTAGGTTCATATGACATTTGCCCAGAAAATACGGGGCTTGTTTTCAATGTTTTCCGAGATGGAGCCGAAGGAGACACTGGGATCCAAGGAGGGGAAAAAGTAAGTGGTTTGTTATACAGCCAGAGAAGAAGACTTTATGAACGTAAAACTAAGAGAGCGGTTAAAATTCATGAGTGACATTGCACGTTTACTCTCTTAGGCCATAGATTTTGCAATATTGCCCGCTCAGAAAACTTTCTGTTAATTGTCATGTGAACTCGATTTAACCAATAAGAGCGCGCACTGTTAGGCCATACAACAAAAATGTACCTGCTTTATATTCACTCCAACTCTTCTTAAAATTTGTGACATCGTTTCCTCCTCTTCTCTGGATCACTGTCCAACCTCCGCCATGCGTGTCGTGATCGCAGAACACTTGAAATTTTACCTCATTTAGAGGATTTATTGTGTAGACTCCACTAGCTCTGTTTCCAGTTAAAAGCAATTCCCTGCAGTCACCTTGGACGAAAATAGAGAGCTTTAGCATCGACAACGGCGACAGCAGCGAAAAAGCCACTTTTAAAATGAATTTGTGTTTCTTCAAACTTTGTAGCGTTTATTCCAATGCGTAGAAAATGTCAAATGCCGTCGAATTTCTCTGGAGTTGATTTCTTGGGTACCGCACTCAATTTACAAACTAAAGAGAGAAAGTTTCGTCTTCCCTTGTTTACGTCCTCCATAAACGCGAAATTAGGCATTTTCACGTCGTAGTCGTGCAGTGACAGCAAAGAAATGTTCAAAGAAGCGTGATGCACGTGCAAACTTGTTCTTTTGCTTAACAAACCTATTGCTTTTTTGACGTTCTCGTTGGCGTTACCGTCACCGTCGTCTTTGCTAAAGCTCCCTAATGACTAAATAAGCTGAAGCCAACAGGCTTCAGCGATACTTTTTATCAAACATGACACAGTAATTCATCTGATATCCAAACACCTGGAAGTGGGAGAGAAAATCCCAGCTTTTAACTTTTAGTTCGTTGTACCTGTTATCGTTGAAAAACCGTTTAGTGTGATATACATACCTTGGTAATCAGTATTCAATATTCAAAAATCACAGAAGCGATTCATAAATATTTATCAAGTCTGATAATTTGTATTTTTTGGCTAAAGCCGCGAGCTGCTACGGCAATCAGACGGGCGCAAATGAACATAAATTCATTCTTCCATTTTGTCGATTATATTTTCTAAAAAACATCAAACAACAGAAAGAGTCTTTTTGAGGATTTCTAACCATCGCAGATTGGTTTAGAGATTTATTTATTTTTTCGAGAAAATATTTCAAGAATACCTGGTAGCCAGGGAGTCGTTTGTGTGCACTGACCAATCCCCCGGCATGACATTTCTCGGTACTTATTTGTTGGCGTTTCTAGGGGTGATACACGAGACCAAGTCCAATCCGTGTAGGTACAAGATGGCGACCGGCCTAAGACATTAAAACAACAACAACGAATTAAAAGGAGGAAAAAAGAAAAGTTTTTAGGGATCCATAAAAGGACAATGAATGTTACACTGTTGTACGGTATAGACTGAAGCATCAGAAAAAATAAGAGTTTTTGTACTAACAAGATGACACATGGATATATCTAAAAGTTGATGGAACTTTGAAAGCGTTTTACAGAGAGTTTTCATGGATTTCTTTAAGATCGCATGTAAAGGCATGAAAATTATCTGGTCTTCTCCGTTTACATAGGTTAATAGTCAACAAAAACCACAGGTAGCCCAAGCTCGAAATCTGAGCATAGGCGAACATCGATCGGCATTGTTGCGTAACATTCGAAATATAAGGATTTGTATGGGAAAAAAACCTATCGTTTCAGTAACCTACAAAAATGAAAGGATTTCAATATCGACCGCTATATCGACCGATATCTCGGTCGACATTACCCACAGTAAACAAGATCCAAACCTTTATATAGAGAGAAAACCGTTTACATAAAAACCCATAAAACGGCCATAAATCGGCCCGTGGACCACACAGGAGAGACGCAACACACATTTTAAGTAAGGTAAGCATTTTTTTGTTAAAATCCTTTCAATTTCGTAGGTTACAGAAACGATAGGTTTTTTTCCCATACAAATCCTTATATTTTGAATGTTACGCAACAATGCAGATGTTCGCCGATGCTCATATTTCGAGCTTGGGCTACCTGTGTAAAAACAAAGAAACAAAAACGAAAACAACAAAGATGACGACGACATTTGTTCTTACCCATAAGTTTTCCGATATCCTCGGCACCCAGACTCCTTCCAAATATAAACAGATCGCTGAGATATCCGTGAAAGAAAAAATGCTTGTTTTGATCAGGGTCGTAGTACCTGCCAATTTCTAACAACCCCGTTGTGTTTTCCCAAGGATAACTGCTATTCCCCGTGGGGACGATTTTAAATCCATTAATAAAAAAGAAAAGTTCCGTGTTTCGGACAAACGACACAGCCACGTGGACCCATTGTCTTTCTACGACTTTACCCGCGGTATAAATATACAACGCGTTCGAAACCCAATAAGCTAACTGCAACTGGTTGTTAGTATTAACGCCGAAAATAAATCCAGGAATCTGTAGATCATTTTGAACTATTCCCCTATGGTGTGGGTCAGAAGGAACTAGTTCTATCCAGCAAGCAATGGTGAAGGAAGAACCGAGGGTAATATTGTCAGCTGTCGCATAAGCTCGAGTTTCATCCAAGTAAAGTGAGTTGTGTCCATCAAGACGGCCTTCCAAGAAACTAGCGCTGTATTTCAGGCTAAAAGTAAGGCAAAGTACCATTGCATTAGTCATACAACAGTTAACTGTGATTTCAAAGTACCCGTTTTAGTTGTTTCTATAAAGTATTATTGGAATACCACTTTTAAATTCAATTTTCATCCATGCAGATTGAATTCGCTAAACAACATTCTTAGCCTGCGAAAGGCAGGCGTTTCTCCTCGCTCATCGCCGCCGAGGGACGTTTCGCGAAACGTCCCTCAGCTGCGAAGAGCGAGGAGAAACGTCTGCCGTTCACAGGCTACAACATTCTCGTCTAAGATCTTGATTTCGAATTTTCGGATATCGTTTTCATGGTAATATCCACCAAAACCTATTTTTTAACCTAGATCATGTCAAACTTCAACCTAAGACCACAATAAAGTGGTGAAAAATTGGTTTCGATCCCATATGGGGAAGGCATAATTTCTTTTAAGATGATTGAAAAATATACGAATGGCACTTTTCATTCCCAGGGTGAAAGATAGTCTTACAATAAGGTGGTGCAAACGTTTGGGTCTGCAGATGAAATTTATGGGGTTACCATTCGAATGAAACCTCTTCAGCAGAACTTGTCTTTCACTTGGTAATATTTGTTTTTCAGCATTTTACATAACAAAATTTAAAAATTTTGTCGAATTTGTCCGGACTCTGGCTACTTCTAGAAATGAAAAGGGGTAAACATGGAGGTTAAGCATACCAACAAGGATTATCACGAACGTATAAGAGAAAACCTAAAAANTTCTACGACTTTACCCGCGGTATAAATATACAACGCGTTCGAAACCCAATAAGCTAACTGCAACTGGTTGTTAGTATTAACGCCGAAAATAAATCCTGGAATCTGTAGATCATTTTGAACTATTCCCCTATGGTGTGGGTCAGAAGGAACTAGTTCTATCCAGCAGGCAATGGTGAAGGAAGAACCGAGGGTAATATTGTCAGCTGTCGCATAAGCTCGAGTTTCATCCAAGTAAAGCGAGTTGTGTCCATCAAGACGGCCTTCCAAGAAACTAGCGCTGTATTTCAGGCTAAAAGTAAGGCAAAGTACCATTGCATTAGTCATACAAGAGTTAAATGTGATTTCAAAGTACCCGTTTTAGTTGTTTCTATAAAGTATTATTGGAATACCACTTTTAAATTCAATTTTCATCCATGCAGATTGAATTCGCTAAACAACATTCTTAGCCTGCGAAAGGCAGGCGTTTCTCCTCGCTCATCGCCGCCGAGGGACGTTTCGCGAAACGTCCCTCAGCTGCGAAGAGCGAGGAGAAACGTCTGCCGTTCACAGGCTACAACATTCTCGTCTAAGATCTTGATTTCGAATTTTCGGATATCGTTTTCATGGTAATATTCACCAAAACCTATTTTTTAACCTAGATCATGTCAAACTTCAACCTAAGACCACAATAAAGTGGTGAAAAATTGGTTTCGATCCCATATGGGGAAGGCATAATTTCTTTTAAGATGATTGAAAAATATACTAATGGCACTTTTCATTCCCAGGGTGAAAGATATAGTCTTACAATAAGGTGGTGCAAACGTTTGGGTCTGCAGATGAAATTTATGGGGTTACCATTCGAATGAAACCTCTTCAGCAGAACTTGTCTTTCACTTGGTAATATTTGTTTTTCAGCATTTTACATAACAAAATTTAAAAACTTTGTCGAATTTGTCCGGACTCTGGCTACTTCTAGAAATGAAAAGGGGTAAACATGGAGGTTAAGCATACCAACAAGGATTATCACGAACGTATAAGAGAAAACCTAAAAACAGAAAATTCTTTTTACATGAGAAAATTTGCCCAAGTCAGTATCAAAAGGTATTAATATAACTTACATCAACTTATCGCTGTCATCTTTGCCGTCAAGACTAAGGTGTACCAAGAGATCTTCTGGCAAATCATAGTCTAAACAAACAAAAAATTAACAATAACCACGCAATAACCATTGACCAAATACAATACCAAGTTCTTATAACTGTTTTCTATTTTTTTGTATTTTGTATTTTCCTTTCTTACTCTCTGTCCATTGTTTATTTATTTTATTTATTTATTTATTTATTTACTTATTTAATTTATTTTCTGTCACTCGATTCTTGCAATCGCTTGTTTAAGGTATCTTTAAATATACGATTATTTTTCATTCCGGAGACCAGTGCCAACCTTAACTTTGAAGCTATTTGCTTAGCTTTAGCAAATTTCTCTCGTTTGACCGCGATGAATCTTCTAATACCCAACTGACGATTAAGCGTATTTATAAGTAAAAATATTTTGGAATTATTTAAATTACCCGTACGAGGACAAGTCCCTCCATCAATCACAATTATTTCATGAACATCCTCTTTAAACATTGGCCAAGACACCCAATCTCCGCGTTCTACTCCACATTTAGATGACAGCACAGCTAAGAGAGGATGCTCCAAGACCCGAGGCCACGCATTTATATGCCCCAGCTGACCTGAATACAGTTCATTATGATCTCTTCCAACTCCTGCAGTAAAAGTCTTATCTGAAGGTATTTGAATTCCGGTTTTGAAACCTACGCCCTCTTGAATGAGTCTCCCCTCATAGTAGACCTTGAAACTACCGTCCTCGGTCTGCCAGGAAACGCAGATTCCATGCCAGTTGTTGTCAGCAATACCAGGCAAGAGTGCCAGTGTTCTATAATGAGAAAAGTACAAAGAGATTTATTTAACAAAGGAGTGGTCAAACGCTACAACGCAAACGATTAGCAGTAGAAGGAAACTTAAAAGAATCTGGATATTTACAGTACGACTACTATATTCGAAGACGCGTTATTCACACCTTCTTTCAATGTTTTTGGTGGTTATTTTCATGGGTAACTCAATTTGTTGATTGTTAGCTCCTTGAATTCGCCACTTCAGAAACGAGGAGAGAACTGGGCCAAGGTAACTTTCGCAAAGACTTCTGGGAATGTTTCTAGGGACTTGAAAAGGGCGATTTAGACGGCATGATTTTTGCTTACGACTATCGTACGCAACTAGCCTGCGTCATGACTTCACCACAGATTGTGTCNGAGTGCCAGTGTTCTATAATGAGAAAAGTACAAAGAGATTTATTTAACAAAGGAGTGGTCAAACGCTACAACGCAAACGATTAGCAGTAGAAGGAAACTTAAAAGAATCTGGATATTTACAGTACGACTACTATATTCGAAGACGCGTTATTCACACCTTCTTTCAATGTTTTTGGTGGTTATTTTCATGGGTAACTCAATTTGTTGATTGTTAGCTCCTTGAATTCGCCACTTCAGAAACGAGGAGAGAACTGGGCCAAGGTAACTTTCGCAAAGACTTCTGGGAATGTTTCTAGGGACTTGAAAAGGGCGATTTAGACGGCATGATTTTTGCTTACGACTATCGTACGCAACTAGCCTGCGTCATGACTTCACCACAGATTGTGTCGTGTAAATTAGACACACGACATTCGTGCGACATGCAGGTGGATTTCGTAAGTGAAAATTGTGCGCGTGTGGATGGTCGAAAGTCATGAAGTATGTTACTTGCGCACGATAGTCGCAAGCAAAAATCGTACCGTCTAAATCGGCCTTAAAGAATATTGGCCGGCAGGAACCATACGATTCGACAACGGCGACGCCAATGACAGCATCGCTGAAAAATAGACCTCACGTCCTTTGAAACTTTTTCGCCGTTATACCAAGTCACCCAGTTACTTGAAAGTTGGGAAATTAGGTTGGAACTGAAGAGAGGGAACCGCGTCGGAATTCAGAAAGAGATCGTAAAATTTATCACTTTGCCGGTGCCGTTCCCCCAGTCAAGTCAACTCAAAATTCTGTAATTTCACGTCGTAAAGAGTTGTTATTTTGCTTATAAAACCTATTGTGTGTTAGACCTTCCTGTTGCCGTTGCCGTCGTAAGATCCCTATTAGGGGCCTTAAGATCCCATGCTCGACGGCGACGGCAACGAGAACTTAAAAAAAGCAATAGATGTGATTAGCAAAACAACCATTTTGCACGTGGATCACGCTTTTTGGTACATTTCTTTGCCGCCATTGCACGACTACGACGTGAAACTACCTAATTTCAAGTTTTACAGGGGAAGTACTCAAGCGACAACGTAATTTCCTCTCTCTTTCTGAACTTGGATATGGTTCTTAGGAATTCAACTTTAAGAGGGTTCGACTACATTGGACAAAGTTAGTGACTTGAAGTAATCGCGATGAAGATTAAAAGAACGCGAATTCACTTTTTTAGAGGCGTTTTGTCTGCCGTCGTCGTCGCCGTCGCCGTCGTAAGGTCCCTTTTGCCCAGTTGAGCGGCGCGTTCCCAATAACGATCCCAGAAATACTTGCGAGACGCATTCCGGCTCCAGTTCCCTTCAGGTTTCCAAAAGGTGAATACTATTGCGCCTTTTAAACCCTAAGATCAAAATTTGAATTCTCAATTGTTGCTCCTGTTCATTTCCTACAGAAGTGGTGGGGAGAAGTTGATAAAATATCAAGCAAATTCATCTTGTGTGATTGTCCGTAATTCTCATGACCACTCTGTTTTGCAAAGCATTAAAGCATATTACTAGGAGAAATTTGATGCTGATCACTCTTAGGGCTTAAAGTGTTAATTATGCGGAATTACCTTTGTTCATCAAGGAGAGTAAGTGTAAGGTTCTCACTGCCATAATCAACGGATAAGGAAATGAGATTGTCAACATTTTCATCTGAATAGCGTAGAAGGCCAAAAGGGCCTACATCATAGGTTTTAACCCAAACACATATCGTGAACGCTTCAATGTCTTCTTCACCAGCAACTGTCACTTTCGAGACGTGTGAGGAATGTTTCGTAATAAAGTTTAGGTAAAAATCATGGTCTACAAAATAATGAAGATCGCAGGGTTAGTCTACAAACGTGTATGGCTAAAATAATCAAGACATAAGATTGCTCTCGTTTACTCTTTACAACAGCGGAAGCCCTCGTAAGCGGACACACTCGGAAGGCAAAAAAGGGGTAATGGGTTCATGATAACCGTCACAAATATAGAGAAATTAAGTGACCACTAAGCCCACTATGAGAATGTTAATGTAATTGCTGTAGTTACTGTAGTTGGTGTAGTTAGTGTAGTTGGTATAGTAGCTGTGGTTGCTGTAGCTGGTGTAGTTGCTGTAGTTGGTGTAGTTAATGTAGTTGGTGTCGTTGCTGTAGTTGATGCAGTTACTGTAGTTGCTGTAGTTGGTGTAGTTAGTGTAGTTGCTGTAGTTGGTGTAGTTGATGTAGTTAGTGTAGTTGCTGTAGTTGCTGTAGCTGGTGAAGTAGCTGTAGTTGGTGTCCACAGCTACTACACCAGCTACACCAACTACACTAACTGCATCAACTACACCAACTACAGCAACAACACTAACTACACTAACTACAGCAACTACACTAACAACACCAACTACAGCTACTACACCAACTACAGCAACTACAGTAACCACAGCTACTATATTAACTACACTAACTACACCAACTACAGTAACTACAGCAATTACATTAACATTCTCATAGTGGGCTTAGTGGTCACTTAATGCCTCTTTATTCGTGACGGTTATCATGAACCCATTACCAAAAAAGGTGTTCGTAACTGGAGATGGCCGCTTACGAGAATGGTTCTTATTCGTCATTTGTACATCTCCCACAATACACATTATTTTTGTTTAATAATAATAAATAATAACAAAATCTTAGAACAGGAAGCTCACATCACCAAGAGTGATGTTTATTGAGGCCCTGTTTCGCTTGGTACATGTAAAAAGGCCATGCAAGGCGAAACGAGCGCGACCACGTGAGAGAAATTGCGTGCATGAAACCTGGTAATTTGGGCCGGATCTCAGGTTTTGATTAAACAAATAGGACCGCAGCGAGGCGGACGTCCGATTTTGTTTAATCTCTCGTGTGACCGAATTGGACTCTGCCTATTCCTAATAATCTAATAACGACAACTGTAAACATAACACACACAAGTTTGCGCTCAAGTTCATCTGTTGAAATTTGTTAAGGATCAACCAAAGAATTCATATGAAATCACCAGCCAATACACAAAAAGAAATGGAACGTATTTCTAAGTTTTATAGTTAGGTGTAACAATTCACAAAAAAGCTACCGAGTAGTTTTTTCCTCTTGCACTATTTAATTTTTTGTAGATACTGGATAGTTCTCACTTTTGAGTCTGTGGACGAAATCTTGCGGTGCGACCATTATTATGCTGTACAAGGTGGTTCTAACTTTAAATCTGTGAATGAAATCCTATGATGTGACCATTCAAATGAAAGCTACTGAACAGTACTTTCCTGTGGTACTGTTTATTATTCTGTACAAGGTGGTTCTAACTTTTAAATCAGTAGATGAAATCCTACAGTGTAACCTTTCAAATAAAAGCTACTGAGCAGTACTTCTCTGTGGTACTGCTTATTATGGTGTAAAAGGTGTTTTCATCTTTTGAGATTTTGGACAAAATCATACAGTATGACCAATCAAATGAAACCCCTTTATTTTGCAGTATGAAACTCGAAATTTTTCTTGAACTTCAAGGGGTACAAAATCTACGTTTAAAATTGAACCGTGCCCGATTAAAGTTCATCGAATGTTTTCTTTCTGGGGAGCTGAGGAAGGTGGCGCTAGAGAAACAATGGTCACCAACGAATGACAAAAAAAACAGTTGTCAGATATTTGGTTTACTGCATACATCTCAATGCCCAGTGACAGTCAATACCACAAACCATGAAGACGTTTTCTCTCTGGCCCCACATAAATGTACTTAAGTGTCACCTCATCTTTTCGTGACCTATTCTTTTCAAATAATTTGAGAATCTTTAATTTCCACGTGCATAACAGTGACCAGCTGAGTTTCTGTAACTTGTAACTTGGGGCCCGTTTAAGGAAAGTCCAGGTAACTTTTCGGGCGCGAAATAAAATATTCAAATTATAAAAAATCTAAAGAATAAAAAAACAGTCCATTTTGTTTTGTTAACTGATAGTTTTATCACATTAGCTGTAAAACGTTTCTGTGTCCCCATAAATACAAACAGATCCAAAAGCTCGATCTTAAATGTAAACAAAAACAGCCTTCCGGGCCTTTATCGGAACTTTCGAGAAACAGGCCCCAGGACAGATAGATGCGGAACAGTTTGGTGGGCGAAAGTCTGGGTAATAGGTATGATTTCGATTCCACTTTTCTTAGAACGTTCTTCAGTTTTAACAAGCCGTTGACCAACAACTTTGTAATTATGTGTTTGAGCCCTCCTCTAGAGAGGTAATTGCAAAAGGCCAAAAATCTACAGACGTCTCAGTCGGTTATCTTAGTGATTTCCGAAAAATTTATAAAGCCGTAGGCGGCCATCAATGAGTAACTGGAGCAAGCAATTAAACAATGTCAACCCGAGTAAAATTACAAATAAGGAAAATATGCGCCAGTGCAACTTTGGAAAAGAATGCTTTGGGATAACATTTACAGCATAAAAAAAGCTGTTTTATCATTATCATCATAGAAAACACTTTTTTACCAACACGGGAAGAAAAATTAAATTTCAATAACAAAAACAAAAAATAACCATACCTTTGCACAAGATTTCCTCCGCAGGCGAATTCCCTAATAAAACAAAAAGAAAAACCTACAAAAGATATGAAAACGTTAGTCGTACAACAGACAAATA